GGTAGAACAAATTTCTTTTGTATACAAAGATTAGGATTGTTCTCTCGAATTCCCATAGCTTCGGCTAAGTGTAAAAGACGGGTTCTGATTCCGTTCGAAAGACTAGATGGAATGCGGTAAATAACTTTGAAAGCACTATTTTTGTCCACTTGGTGACCACTATCAATCAGATGAGCCGAAGTAGAACTTCGTATGGATTTTATTTGACCTTTTGACCTGAAGAAGATCTAATTGAAAACCATATTGTTCGCTTATATGTCTTGTTCTAATATTATAAATGGGAATATTTAAAGATTTGAAACTAATATTTGTCTTTTCGGCGATTTCTCTTTGGAAAGCAGTTGTACAATCGCATTTATATGCATAAGTTTACGTTTGATTCCACATAGTAACGCCAAAGTTTAAATAAAGTTTATGATAATTTTCAACTTGACATGAAAGATTGAAGGTGTGAATATAGATTACAAGGGCTTTAGAGACAAGATTACATATGATTAGAAAACAGTGACAACGTATGTAATGTAAGCTATATCTATGTAGACTTATGTATGTAAATGCGATTGTACAGCTTTTGAAAGTGAAGTCACCGAAAAGATACTTCTGTTTGCTGAACTGCTGGTTCTTTTTCTCTCGAAATTCTACACTGTCTTTCAAAGTATGTACCGGTATTTTTTCTACCCGGTAGGCTTAATCAACTGTGAAAACCATCCAGCCAGTTAGTGGTATGGAGAGTTTGATATGACCGATATAGAGCGTATAGGCGTTTCAGTATTGTGTACTTTTGTAAGTCTATACATTCGTAGGGAATATGATCCTTGGAACCTTAGTGTCTCACAGGGATTCTTATCGATTAGACTTTGCTGACAAAACTGATAGAGGAATTGAGAGGTCATTTTTCAGTATTCAGTCTCGTGTTTTTTCTCCTCTTTTTAGTGGTGAAGTGTTTATTTGTCACTTGATAGGCTGAGCATTTTCCAGGAAGTCTTGCTTGTTTAATACAACTACACCGGAATCTTTATTGGGTTTGATTAAGACAATTTTAGTTGTTCTTTTTTAATTCACTTGATATGGCTTTTTGACATTCTTTGGGCAATTAATTTCCTATGTTTTTTGAAAGGCTTTTATTATTATTCCCTTGCGTTCCGAGTGAAACAAAGGACCTCAACAACACATCTCCACATTGTTCTGTTTTATGCCGTCCTCTTCAACTGGGTCAACGATTGACCAAACTCTCTCATCTCTTCCTCGCCACACGATCTCCTCACATGATGTTCTGATGTCTGTTTTACCCGTGACCTGCCTGTTCCACTTCGTTCGCCAGCCAGTGTGTCGTAGAATTGTCATTTGTCTTCCCTAGCACGCTTCTGTACTGCTTTATTCAGTGCAGTGTGCACAGAACTCAGCTTCTCCTTCTGTTTTCCATTTTTACATTGAGTCGTCATCTCTTTCACCATCCTCCTCTCCTCGCTTCCATGAGCTTCGAGTTATCCATTGAGAGCCATTTCTCCGTTCTCATTCATTTCTTCGAGTGAGAGCCTCTCGACCCATGATGAGTTCTCTTCCTGTATTATGTGCTCCCAGTTTGTCTTGCATTCATATCGTCCGTGAGGATTTTGATGTCAACACTTGGGATGTTGTCTATTACGGTTTTTAGTTGTCCGTAGAAATCGTCATTCTTCTTGATTAAGTCAGCATTGTTTGTAGGCGTCTAGCACTGGATAATTGTAGGTTTGTTTTCCTCTTTTTGAGCTAAATCTTGTTGTCATGATCGTGGATGAGGAGACTGGTTCCCACTGCAGTAGGATACTGTCTGCCACTGGCGACATCATTATAGTCACTGACTGCCTCAGTGTGTTCGTGGTTGTCGTGTGGGTAGATTACTGAATCTTCAGTTGACAGTTTTGACAGTAAACATGCATTCCATCTGCTCTGGCAGATACTCAGCACTTGTATGCCATATGTTCAGATTTCTTTAGCTACCTGGTCAGCCTTCCCAGCTAATCTCGTTCATTTTGCGGACATCCCACTTCCCCATTGTTATTCTTGCTTTCATGGAGAGAAGACACACACTGGCCGACTGACTGGCTGGCTTCCCGAAGGCCAGCTTTCACCAGCCGGCTGTGTAATTTAGGCTGTCTGATTCGAGCGAAGAATAAGATTGTTGTTATTTGAAGTTTCTGTATTTGTAGTTTATTTTCTATGTGTTGGAGTTTCCCTAGCGGCCTGATAGGTTTAGGGGTGTGTGGTTGGTATCCATACGCCGAACCGTTTCTGTTTACTGAGACTTTGGACTGGCTAGAAAACTGGCGAGCCACTTAACTAGGCGAGGTTAACTTTGACCTAATAGCCTACTTAGTAAACTTAATCGACAAATCTAGGTTTAAGTCAACTATATAAATCAGTGAATTGACTAAACAGATTGTGAGACTGAGTTTCAGGTTCGGCTCAGTTTTCTTCATGATGATAAGGCATAGGAAGTCTGAAATTCTTTATAGGCAGGGAGACATCATAATATTGTTGAACTAGTGAAATTGAAAGGGCGAATGTGTGAGGCGACATAAATTTTAACAAGCCACAGTTGACATATAATGCGATTGTATATGTGTTAATCATTTGATTCTTTGCGTATCATTGGAAGTGTTGATTTATTGACTGTCGTTATTATTCCTATTCACCCTAGTACTTCCAACTCATCGTTTCCCGTTTAGGTGTCACTCGGACGAAGATCTTGTGCGCGTTGTCACGCAACAGTCTTTCTTCCGTACGATCACTTTATCTTCATTTTAATTCTACATGTTCACTAGTTCGACAAAAGATTGTTTGTTGGTCCTTGTGCCAGAGTTACCTGTTGCCTATCTTTCCAGAATGGCCATCTGATCTTCAGTATAGAGCGGAGGTAGTTGTGTCTCCAAATAGCCTGTCAGAAATGCTTTTTGTGGCATATACTTATATATATATATATAAAGGATGGGGTTGCTAGCCTCATGCCCAACCTTTCCTCTTTACCAGCATTATTTCAGGCTTAGCGAGGTAAAGGAGTGCGTCGGTCGGGGATCGAACCCCGGACCATGTGCGTGGTCGGCGAGCGTGCTAACCACTATGCCACCGACGCACACTAATATCTTTATTGAATATTCTGTATATATATATATATATATATATATATAATCGTAGAGCCAGAAGAGGAGGAAATTATCAAAATGGATATTCTTTGCTCAATTATTTTCTGTTTTGTAGATGTCTGAATGAACAGTTTCGCTATAATAAGACGATGTAAATCCCTACCCCGTATCTGCCGTAAACAATTTATCTTTATCTCTGTAGACACTGTATAATTCATTCTAGTCGTATACGTGTAGAAATCATTACATTCAATTATTTGGATCATTACTGTTCCTTTATTTGTATTATTGCGTAATAAGTTGAACTGTAGAATGCTCATTGACCATACTACACTCATCTAATCCTGATTCGATTATCAGGTTGTTTTAAGGTCGAAGAAAAAAGGGCGGTTTTTTCTGCGTTTGACTATTGACTCCATCCCTTAAAAATAACACCATGATCACTGGAGCTCCTGGAACTTGGAAGACCACTTGGAAGGTAAAGGAACAGGAGGAGAATTGTACATTAAGAACACAATATTCAGCGAAGAGACCCTTTTTCAACAACGAATTTATTATCAAGCTGTACAATCGTGTATATATATATATATTATATATGGTTTTAAAAAAATTATATCCGGTAAGGGAATTAGGTCAAAGGTGTGAATACATGCGATAATAATGGTAGTATGAAATGCAATTAAAATATTTGTGATTATAATCATAGTTTAATGTCAAGTGGCAAAATAATTAGTGTCATATATAGAACAATACATAAGGTGTATATATTTTGGAACGGGGTACTTAATAATAAGATTAGTAGACATATAAAATGTTGCATAACATGGTGTGGAATTTGATAAGATAAAATTCAATATTGTAAAAATAAAAAATATAAAAATGATTAATTTTGGGTTTAAAATGACAACTGGGTCAAGTGGAAATAATTCAGAGTGAGAATAGCAATAATAATAATAATCGAAAAGTACATAGAATAACTAAATAAACAAAATAAATAAATATCTATCCCTCTACGACCAAGGCAGAAGTAGGGATTGTGCATACTTCTTTTGTACACAAAGGTATGGGTTAAAGTCATGAATTGCCAAGGCCTCATCTGTCTTTAGAAGTCTGTAACGAAGAAAACGCGAACGGCAAGTTAGCATGAATTCTATACATGATGTTGAAATCATGGTCAGGATTGACCCAGTGACAGAAGTCGATCAGGTGTTCCAGAATTAAGCTTCGCACACACTTCTTTTCTCCCTTGTAAAACCATGCTGCTTGAATATGTTCTCGTATCCGTGTGGAAATTGCATATGATTATCCTTACTCTCATTATTATTAATACATCGTTTCCGTCATTACTGTCATCCTCATTACCGCATCACTACTAGTAATACTATATTTAGAGATATGCCATAACTTACCGGCATATATTGAGTCCGTTTCCCTTCTGTATCATCCACTGTATATATACATATATATGTATATATATGTATATATATATATATATATTATTATTACTAATACATGTATATTCATCGTATACATGCTTTCATCATCGTCATTATTATTATTACTACTATTATTACTAGTATTATCGTTGTGAACGAGGCAAAACTATCAGTATTTTGCTTCTTTTATTTTCATCACGTATTCATTCAAAACTGTACGTTTGATCTTGTATTGGCCTATGATGGTTTATGATGTGTTTTGGTCGGCCGTATTATCAATACTAATAATACTTATTGCTGCCTGTATGACGTTTCTGTTGTATCAATGCTTGCTTGCTTGCTCGCCTGAATATGTGTTTGGGCCGTTTGTGTGTGTGTTCACATGTGATCCTCATCAAATATCATCATCATCATCACCATCATCATCATCATTCTCACTCAGGTACAACGGAACGTGTTTGTCTAATCACTGGATCATTCGATGGTGTTATCATTGTGCACAATTATATAATGGATCGAATTATGGAAAAGCCTGATCCTAATCCGCATACAACTGGAGATGGTCGATTGAATGTTGAACGTCATAAACAGGTAGGCATCAAAATAGAGGTGTGTGGAATGGAGAGGAAGTGAGGTGGAATGGGGGTTTTGGTTGGGGTGACGTTGCGTGGGTTGGTGGGTGGGTTTTTTGTTTTGTTTTTGCTTTCATTCATTCTTGGTCATTTGTTTTGATTTTGTTTTTTTTTATTTTCGTTGCTTGAATCATCATTTATATCATCAAAGTTGTCATTTAGCCCTATTCATTGTCCGTACCAGTCATAAATCCTTCATTATTGTTCTCTTGTTTACTATCTCATTGTCGAGATTTTAGTCTACATATCTCCTACTTGTAGCCTAATATTATAATCATTGTTATTAATTGTTGTTAGCTTTCACAGTCGGGATGTAGGACTTTAGCGGGGCACATCTCCATTGTATCCTGCTGTCATTTTTACCGTCTAAAAGCTTTAATTTCCTCAGTTCTTACATGATTTTCTTTGTACCACACTTGGACGTCTAATCTGTCACTTTTCAACATTGCGATCAAATGGAGTTTGGAAAAATCAGTCTCTTTGCTTCCACGTTCAGAGGAGTATTTTTCTCATATTAAAGACTTTAGTATGAGAAACTTCTACTCACTTGATAAACCATAATCTTTGATGAATGCGTATTGACAGAGAGAGAGAGAGAGAGAAAGTAGTATGCTCGCCGACGACGCATGGGAGATCCGAGTTCGGTCCGCGGTCGTCAATGCACTCCTTAATCTCATTTAACTGATCTTCAATATGGTACAATGAAGACTAAGAGTCACACTAACAATTCCATCCGATAAAAGAAGAATCCCGCGCTACTGAAACACTTCAAGACTGAAGCTTTAAGTCAAATGTTTCACTCGGATCGCAAAGGAACTAAAATAAAATCAGTACTAGCAGAAATGTTAATTCAGAGACGGCTCATCTAACATTAGAACGTATCAACTTATAGTGTTTGACTTATTCAGCTTACTGTTGAATACACATTACACGACCGCTTGATTATTGGGATTTTATTCACACTACTTATCTGAGTTGCCTTGTGCGTCTCAAATGCACATGTACTTTAGACTTACAGCCAAATGGGATTGTAAAGTCGGATGTCACTGCACGTTTTTTCAATCTGAGCAACTGAATTACTAAGCATCTTTAGCTTTCATACATACGGACACACACACACACATGCACACTCAAAGTGTGGCTCTTGCCTAGCTGGGTGGTACGTGGGAAATCTGACTGACTGTCGAAGAAAGCAAGATCATGCTGGCATAGATAAAGGGGCGGGTGATGATCAGCAGAGCTTCTTGTGCTTTTGAAAGTTTGTCGGTAGTTGTTACTTTCCCGGTTGCCCACACCAGCTGGGAAATCTATCCAGGCGATAACTGATGTCTAACTGATAATATGATTAAGAATGTTCAGTGTACAATAGTGATCATTGAGCGCTGGTTAATTACTATAATATTTATTTTTAATAATTGTTTGCATTTTTGTATGTTTAGGTGAAAATTTTAGTACCAAACAGTACGGCTGGTATGGTTATTGGCAAAGGTGGATCTTACATTCAAGAGATAAAAGAGAAAACTGGAGCTTATGTACAAATTTCTCAAAAATCACGTGAATTCAATCTATTAGAGCGTTGTATCGTTGTTGCTGGTAAGTGTGGTGGTAATTGTAGGCTCTTTCTTTTTATCATTCATTGCCTTCTGAGCGGAACACACGGCTCTAAGCTTTGAATTGTCAGTAGCACCCTCGCGACCAGCTTCTGTTTTTCGAACTTATCACCGGCTCAGCGAAATTCAGGAGTTTGTTGCCCCGGAATCAAACTGTACATCCATACACGTGGACCCAGTACTATTGCCAACCACTGACGGATTCCTACGCCTTGTCTAGTTGATAGGAAACAAGAGAGTTTGTGCTTGAGGCTAACAATCTAACCCATCAAAAACTGGCATATAAGGATGGCTTATTTGTGTAGCCATTCTATTGTTAACTAGCACTTTATGGTTTCGAAGCTGTATCCAGTGTGCGTGTGTGTGTTTGTGGTAAAGACTGAAAGTCTGCAGTAGGTCGTCTTTGCCTCATATAGAAGCGCTTAATTATTTGTGTTGAAAATCGGAATCTTATTCTTTTTACTAAGTGCAACAGTAAGATACAGCATATAAATTGCATTACTTTGTTTTTAGTTGTTGCAAGTGGAGTTATGTCATATGGTGTTTTTCATTATTCCAGGTGAATTAGATCAAACAAGAGCAGCTGTCCATCTTATACTTGGTGTTATCGCTGCAGACCCACAATCAGCTAGTTGCCCAAATCTCTCTTATCATGACATTCAAGGACCAGTAGCCAGTGTTTATCCAACCGGTTCACCCTATGCCATTCCAGTTATTCCTTATTTATCAAATCCTACTGCATTGCCGAATCCTCCAGTTGACGTTAATTCTCCTGCTGGCGCTGCAGCGGCAGCTGTCGCATCTATGATGGCCGCTGCTTCTGCTTCTGCAGCATTTACACATGGTCAGTCTTCATCACAAGGTCCTGGATTCGGTTTTTTTCCCGGCAATCTTTCATCGACATCGGATGTTGCAACACTGGCAGCTCTAGTGTCAAATCCAGCCGCAGGATCGATTATTTTGCCGTCTATGCTTGCAAACGCTGTAAATGGTAGAACCTCAAGTAATAGTATGTCGTCTGGAGATATATTTTCAGCGACTGGTGCCAGTAGTAATACTCCATGGTCAAATATTTCTGGTCAAACTGGGTTCGACACTGGCCTACCGGATCCAAATGCTGCTACATCGGTAAATGTATCAATTGCTTTGGCGGCTTCATCATTTACCGCCAATAAACCACAAGATTCTCAGTCAACGCGGACGGCGGTATCACCTCCGGTCTTTTTCCCATCATCATCATTCATCCCAGGTAGGTTGTGTGATATATTTGTTTGCCTTAATGAAAGAACGTAGAATATGCTTTATTTTATTTTATATGACCATGAATAGATGTTAACTTCTCATAGTTTCTTTCTCGATCAGTTATGCTTTCTTCCGCATTAAGTGAAGATTTTGATTGAACACTAGATAGTAACTAATGACATGCATTTAGTCATTTGTATAGGCAAAATTCTATCAGTTAGTTTTGCAATCTGGCCGTGATTTGGCTGACCCAGGTTTCGCGCTTGTTGATGACCGCCTGTCAGCAAGGCGTATCTGCGATCTTGATGGAACTCATGTCTCTTCTGAGATACGAACCCGTATCAACGGGTGCCGCACCGTAATGGTGAGTTACGTAGTATATTGGCCACATTACAAACTTGACTGACAGAATTCAGTCTGTAACCGAACGAGGGACTAGACGCACGACATTAATTGCTACCCAGTGTTTAATCAAAATATCTAGTATTGTTTTGCAGGAAGTCAATCACAAGCGCTAATAGCACAGTAGTTACATCTCTGACTGCAGCAGTGGGTGGTGTGTGTTCGAGTCTTAGAAGAGGCGTGAGTTCCATCAAGCTTGCAGATACGCCTTGCTGACTGTTAAGTGCTAGCAAGCTCGAAACCTGGACCCAATGTCTTCCTGCAGATTGCGTTCAATCACATAAGTAAAATTACGGTCTATTCTTATCGATTAGCTTTCCTTCGTTTTTGAGGTGAAACTTACTTTAGCCGTCCTGATGAGGCTTAGTTCTCGATTCAATGCATGCGCACTTCCAATGTTGTTGTGATGTTATATGACAGCTACACACACTTGGTGTGGTCGTGGTTATCATCTGGATGAAAGTAAAAAGATTATTGAGTACCCGGTTAATAATTTGGATAGTCCATTTGTATAAATCCATCTCCTGTCACAGATAATCTTTATACCTTACTTCCCATTTCTCCTACAATCTCCACAACCGAACTTCGACATGGTGCAGACATTCCATGTCCCCTTCATGCTTTGATCGAAAGAAGATGTATAGGTCGAAGATTTACATCCACGTCAGTCAACCGTTCTGGAATTCAGGAGTAGCCAGTGTGTTATGTATCTCTCTTTATTCTTGAAGTTGGCACTGGCAGTCAGTCAAACACCTATTGTTCGTGAGTGCTAGTGATACTACCAGCTGTCAGAGGATGTATCCCACTGGCTTAAGCACATTATTTTCAACCGATTGAAGTCCTGCTCCGTCTGCTTCAACCCAGAGGCGGCCGTCTCACGATAAATGTCTCATGGTTTGATTGAAAAATCTGCCTAGGGTGATTGAGTCCAAACAGAAATTGAAGCAAATATGTTGCCCCTAGGATATGTGATTAAGGAATGAAGTGACGCTTGTCTGCCGACTGAAACATTCCGCATCAAAATTCCCTATGGATTGACTTTATTAATAACTTTGCTGTTGTATTTCATTTTGTTTTAATTCTTCTTTTATATATTTTTACAGGACCACTTCATATGTCGCCTACCGGTTTGTTTGGTTATCCAGCACTCGGATATGGGAGTTTACCTTCTCAACAGAGTCATCATCATCATTTAGCTACAAGAGGTATACCATTATTGTCTGAAACTTGCTCTTCACCAGCATGCAGTACTCCGTCTACTCTGCCGTCATTACTGACTTCACCATCAGTTGCTGCATTAGCTGCTCTTTCAGCTGCTGCCTCTATAACGGCAGCAACAACTGTACTATCCTCTTCATCGTCACCATCATCGCCATTAACCTCGTGTACTGCAAAGTCTTTACCTGTCTTACCTAATCCTGGTACTGCTGCGGCTGCTGCTGTACTAGGTCTATTGCCTTATTCACCACCGTCGTTGTCATCGCTTACAGTTGGGCCTATCTTACCAGCTCCACCACAACCACCTTCAGCACCAACCCAAGGAACACCATCACAGATACTGCCTAATGATCCTATGTCTATGTCATTTTCTAATATCCCATCAGCTTCATCATTATTGTTGTCACTTACCACAGAGAGTGGTGGTGGTGGTGGTAAGAATCTACAAGGACTACAGCAACAGCAATCATCTCTTGTTCTGGGCGGCAGTGGAACTGTAAGTTCACCACAAGCTACTGGTGGTCTACCCTCTCCATCCAATCTCCTTGGACTCCATGGACTACAATATCCGGGAGCATCGGGATCATCTTCATCAGCAGCAGCGTTACCATCGAATATGGTTAATCCAGTTGGAAATTATGTAGCTTACAGGCGTGTTTTATCTGTGAGTATTAAAGCTATTATTGCTTATTACTATGATTGGTATGTCGATGATTCAGGGGTAGAATGCTCGCCAATCAGGCATATATATTGGGAGTTCGACTCCCGACCGGTTCACTACTGAACCTCACCTAGCTGGTAATAAGCTAAATGAAGTGGGAATGTTGGTTGTAAAGGTATGGGCCACACTCCGTAGGGACAGCACCAACGTTATTATTATTATTGTATCCTTTAGTTCCTAGAGGAACATAGGGCTTCAGCTGCGCACCTCCATTGACTTCGGTTTTCTGACAACTTTTTCACCCTGCTCCAGGTCTGTCCACATGCTTTCATCTCCTCCTCGCATGACCTCCTCCAAGTCACCCTTGGACGACCAACTCGCCGCCTCCCTTTCGGGTTCCACTCGAGGGCTTGTCTAGTGATGTCACTTGATGGTTTCCTCAGCGTATGGCCAATCCATCTCCATTTCTTTCTGCCTATTTGTTTCACAATCGGTTCCTGATTGGTTCGCTCCCAGAGATCCCTGTTGCTGATCTTTTCTGGCCATCTGATCTTGAGTATTGAGCGGAGACAGTTGTTAATGAAGGTTTGAAGTTTGTTTGAGATGCTCTTTATGACTCGCCAAGTCTCTGATCCGTATAGTAGCACTGACTTCACATTGGAGTTGAAAATCCGGATCTTATTTTTGATGCTGATTGCTGTTGACCTCCACACAGATTTGAGAGTAATGAAAGCTTGTCTTGCTTTTCCGATTCTGGCTTTGATGTCCTCGTCAGTTCCGCCTGTAGTTGAGACGATGCTTCCCAGGTAGGTGAAGGAGGTTGTTTCTTTCAGGTTCTTCCCATTTATGCTTATTGTTGTCTGTTGTTGTTGCTGTTGTTGGCTAGGAATCTTCATCATCTCTGTTTTATCTATGTTCACGTGAAGTCCTATCTTTGATGCTTCTTCTGCCAACTTGTTACTTTTCACTTGCATATCTTCCAGTTTATGGGAAATCAGACATATATCATCGGCGAAATCCAGATCCTCCAAGTCTTTTGTGTCAGTCCATTTTATGCCTGTTCCCTCGTTGGTTGCCGTTGTCTGTCGCATTATCCAATCAATTGCAATCAGGAAGATCATTGGTGATAGTAGACAGCCTTGCCTCACTCCCGTCCTCACTTCGAAGGCTTCCGTAAGTTTCCCGTTGTGGATTACTTGGCATGCAGCATTGTCGTATAACTGTTGGATGAGGTGTATAATTGTCGATGGGACCCCGTAGTAGCGAAGTAGTTTCCAAATGACCTCTCGATCGACGCTGTCGAAGGCCTTTTCAAAGTCGATGAAGTTGAGATAGAGAGGTGACTGCCATTCCAAGCTTTGTTCAATGATGATCCGTAGAGTGGCGATTTGATCAATACATGATTTGTTTCTCCTGAATCCAGCCTGTTCCGGACGAAGTTTTTCATCTAGGGCTTGTTTGATTCTCTCCAGGATGATGCGACTTAGTATCTTGCTTGGAATGGACAGAAGCATAATTCCACGCCAGTTTTTACATTGACTTAAGTCTCCTTTCTTTGGAAGTTTGAATAAGTATCCGTTCTTCCAATCCTCGGGTACTTTGCCCTCTTTCCACACCTTCTCCAGCAGTGGTGTCATCAAGTCCGCTGTTGTCTCTGGGTCTATTTTCAAAGCCTCTGCTGGGATTCCATCTGGTCCCGGTGTTTTCCCAGCTTTAAGCATCTTGATTGCATTCAGGACTTCTGATTTCGTCGGGGGGTCAGTGTTCACTGGTAGTTCTGCTTCCGTTGTTGGTATTGCTGGGTGCGTTGTAGGTGGCGGACGATTTAGAAGTCTTTTGAAGTGTTCAACCCAGTGCTTTCTCTGTTCCACCTCTTTGGTGATTGACTTTCCATTGTCGTCCTTTATTGGCTTAATCTGTGTCGAACGTTTGCCCGAAAGGTTCCTAGTTGTTTGGTAGAGTGTGGCGAGGTCTCCTTTGCCTGCAGCTTGTTCTGCTTCGTTTGCCATGGTTTCATAATATTTTCTTTTGTCTTCCCTGGCACTCTTCTTCACTCTTTTGTTCAGTGTATTGTAGCTTGCATTCAGCTCCTGTTTTTGTTGCTCGTCAGTGCACTGGATAATCTTTTGCTTCACTGTCCTTCTCTCTTCTATTAGTTTCCAAGTGTCCGTAGTGAGCCACTGTTTGTCCTGTCTCTTTTTTCTGCTAACGCTTAAAGCCCTCCCTATTTTACAATCTGAGCACAAAAGACTGGATGATTATATTATTATTTTTGTTCGTTTCTTGAGTTCCACAGTCTGTTCTCCATTGGTATTTTCAGCTGGCTTTCATGACTATCCACTGTCCCACCTCATCCATGGGCTTTCGTTTCGTGGTCTTCACACACGATCTTCTCCATGTCCACGTCAGGTCGATGCTGAAGTCATTACTTCCTATTTGTCTTGACCATTCGTCCAGTGGCTTGCCTGGCGTGTTATAATTACTTCAAAGATCTACCCATCAGTGTATGTCTGATCGATCCGCAACCATCTCCATTTCTTTTGACATATTTGTTAGGCAGTAAGATGTTGGCTGGTTTTCTTAACTGTCAAATGTCCTTGTCGCTTCATTATCGAGACATTGAATGGGTGATGGATTGTCTGTTGATGAACAAAGTCTGCAGTAGCACGTTAGAAAAATATCTTTTGTTGACGTACGTGTCCAGTTTCTGAGCCATATAAAAAAGCACCCACTGACTGACTTGATACTAAGGTGTTGGTTAAACTAAATTCAGATGTTACTACTGCTTGTCAATAAGTTATTGTATGTTGTAAATGTCTGCACCGATTTCAGAATAGTTTGTGCGCATTATGGCTGATGCGACTGTCCACATAAGTGGAATAATGGTCAATACCTCATTGTCTATCTGTAAACTGTGAGTCGGTGCAGACCACCACTCTTACAACATCATCTTATATTTTAACATTCCCATCAGCTAAGATAAATGTATCATGGACATATTAATAATACATATCAAACTCCTTGATGATGTCTTTCAATTCCCCGTTTTCAAGGTTTTGCGAGAAAGAAGTCAACTAACATTGGGCCTAATGGTGAACCCATAGCTATTCCATCTACTTGTCAGCAGTATGAATTATTGAAGACAAAGTTAACATTCATTGTGCGCTTAAGAAGTAATTCTTTTAGGCTATACAAGGGGATTCCTAAGTCTAATTGACTTTTGATGATTTCTTGACAAATGTAATCTACCGTTTCCATAAGCGATACATTCGTGAATAGTGATGATACATCTATGGATAACATGAGTTTATACCTCATATTAGTCTCGGATATTTTGGAGATAAAGTCGAAGACATCACTAATTCTATGTTGCGCGATTTCTCTGTGCAAAGGACCCAGAATCTTCACTAACCACTTCGCTGTTCCGTGAAATGCAGAGTTATACATATCTAAAACAGGGCGAAGAGGAAGACCCGGTTTGTGCACTTTTGGTAGACCGTAATAACGTGGAGTATTGGTACCCGTTGGTTTCATGGACTCATACATGGTTGATGATAATACTCCTATTTGGTTCAGTTTTTTGAGGGAGTCGGTCATTAGTTTCTCTGCTCTTATATTGAGGTCTTTGGAAACACCAAGAGATTGGAATTTAGTTTGATTACTTAAAATACCTCCCATTTTCTCAACATAATCGCTTTTGTCCAGTAAAACTATACCGTCACCTTTATCCGGCTTATCATTTTATATTTGACAGGGGTTTAATCATATGTCCAGCATTTGAAGACTTCTGTTCAAGGTGTTCAAAAGACTCAGCATTTAGTTAGAATATTCACCTAAGGAAGACAATCTCATCCGTATACTTTAAGTCGATAAGTCTGTTCTGTAGTAACAAGTTTTTTTTTATTACAGCTTGATTCCACACTGTATTTTCGGTAAAGTATGGAATTTTCACCATATGATATCGGTAGCCCAAATTTTGCAGGCCAACCGTAGATATCAGGTGTGTGTCGGCAGGGGATCGGACCTCGGACCATATGCATGGTCGGCGAGAGTCCTAACCACTGTGTCACCGACGCACACGTAGATAAGTGTAAGTCGTTATAGTCAGTTAGACTCAATTCCACCAGTACTTTTTTGATTGAATTAAACAAAGATGTGAACAACGGGCACCCCTACCGGCCTGATGAACACTACTGGTTGTTATCACTTCAAATGAAAACTCGCCATAAGCTCTGACTCGAATATCTCCTTCAGATGAAGAAATATTCCAAATGTTGGACGCCAGTAAAGTTGACATGAAAGTGTCATCGATTCACTCTCTTCGTGGTCTTCAGGTTGTCTGGTTTTCATAAATCTATGTCTGTTTCTATACATTATGTTGTTCTCTTTCATGTTTTCCTACATTCTTGGCGAATTCAACAACGAAAATTCCTTTTTCCCCCCTTCTTTTGTGTACATACACACATGTGTACTCCTAGGTACCAGAAAATGTGGTCAATATTATCTTAGGTCATCAAGGTCGATCAATTATGGACTTACAACTTGTCACAGGTACAGTGATACAAATTTCACAAAAGAATATATATGTGTCCGGTGGCCAGTTGCGTAATATCACTATAACTGGACCACAAGGCAATGTTCAATGGGCAGCAAATGTAATTGAGCATATAATCGCGATTGAGCACATTAAACGTGAATCATCAATGACTTCAAGTCAACAATCACTGCCAGCAATAGAATCTGAACATTTTCTACCGACTATTGGTTTGCATTATCCAGACTGTCAACCACAAGTACAACCACCATTGTCATCGGTGTCGACAGCCGCTGCTTGTGTTATGAATATGAGTCAAATTAATATGCCGCCAATGATAGCGCCAGTAACGACAACAGGAATGATTACAAGTAGTACAAGCAATAATAACAATAATAATAATATTATTATTACCGGTATGCCATTCTCGTCAACATCATCATCATCAACAACACAACCGTCATCATCGTGTGAAATCGGTGTCTCGAGAAGATCTTGTACATCGTCAGGTGGTGATTCATTATTATCCCTACAAACTCCTAGCAGTGATTCAGTTCCCGTGGTAAATGTGACAAAACGTGATGAAACTAGCTAACTTACTAAGTGATTTCTCCTTTCTCCCCCTCTCTCTCACACACCCTTTATTCTATTTGTCTTTCACACATCAAATGTCTCTCTATTTTTCTCCCCTGTGGTTTTGCTTTGTTATGTATTGTGCGTGTGTGTGTGCTGGTGTGTGTGTGTGTGTGTAATATGGCGCTGTTTTTAGTTTTACTCACCGTTTCCCCTTATCAAACACATCTTTTGAATCCTTTCCACTTCTTCTTTGGTTAACTTGTACTCACATTGTGTGTGTATATATATATATATATATGTGTGTGTGTGTGTGTGTGGAAAAAGTGAGTAGTTAGCGTGAGTATATGTACCCATCCCACTCTCTCTCTCTCTCTAAGGCAACTGTTGACAGCCGGTGTCGTTGTCATAATTTTATTGCATAATCATCTAAGTTGAAGATAACAGATAGGTAGGTACACAGATTTAAGCGTCCATCATCCACACACACAGACATACATATGAATACTACTACACGCATACATGCAAACATATAAATACATATACCAACACACACACATATACTTATATACTTATACTTATAACATATATTCGAACATACATATTCATAGACACACGCACACACTCACACACATATACATACTGCAAATACCCATTTAGACGTACACCTGCATGCATACGTGCATCCATTGCTAGATGTCAGAAAATATTTAAATTACTTATCCCTTTTGGTCTTATTTTTTCTGTGATTTTAACTTTTATTTGTTTATTTATTATCATCATGAATAATTTTATGAAATATGAAACATTGAATTTAATAATATTGAATAGTTTTATTGAACTCTAGATTTTTTATGTTAGACAGTGGAAGAGGAGGAGGTGGAGAAGATTACTTGTGTTCACACCCCACTCCCCTCTCCTCCGTTACGATCACAAAAAGTTTTATCTTAATTTCGTTGTTCTGTTTTTTTTGCTTCTGCCTTGCCTTCTTTCATGAAAACCAAATCGATCAGTCATGCTTAATGGATTCACGTGTGAGTGTGATTTAATTAAATTGATTATATTGTATGAAATTTTAGTCCTTTACTTCGCAAAACCATTTATTGTCTTCATTATTGAGATATGCTTTGTGCTGCTTATTGTCATTTACGGAAATATTTTTATTTTCTTTTACACTGGGGAGATTGTTAAGTAATACTTATTGTCTAATTATGCCATCTCATTTATTTATTTGACAATTACTGCTGAAAAATATGTGGACGTGTGTCTGTGTGCGCGTACAACAGATCGTATCCCCTTCTTGTTCTGTTATTTGTTATTTTTCGATCTTTCTTTTTATCTCTAATGATCTCATCATTTTATTTATTTATTCATTTGTTTGCCTGACTGACTTTTAATTATCCTAATTTTGACATTATCAAATAAAGTGAATTGCCATCATTTTTTTAAAAATGTTTGTATTTCACATAATATATGTGTCTTTTTAATTTATATATCTCGAGAAGCACAATACTACTAATTATTGTCCAATCGCCACCGGTTCTTGTATTTCTTTGGCAGAGATTCTTTTCTTTTTGTGTCTATTTGTAGTTTCATTATTTGCTATTATTATTGTTATTATTATTATTATTATCCACCGTTGTTGTCATGCCTACATCCGCCTCCCACCCTTAGTGGTTGCCATAGGAGTGGTGGTCCCCTGTCATCATCATCATTGTTCTGTTTTAATAATGTTTTTGTGATGTTAACTTTAATTTATTCAATCGTTTATTTATTATTATTGTCATCATCATCATCATGAATTGTTTTGTCGAATATGAAACAGTATTTACTGAAGATTGAATTTGATTTACACTGAATTGTGTATGTGTATGTGTGTGTTTGTTTTACTGAATTGTGTGGTGTTTCTATATGAGGCACAGGAGGTGGAGGACTACTTACAATTGACTTATCCGTTTGTTTCTGGTGGTAACTCTGTTTTTGTCTTTTACACAACCACCCCCCACTCCTTCCCTATACTTCGTAATTTCTCCGGTGGTCTCCTACTGCTGTGTTTGCATTATACACGCATAGATATCTCTCATTTCATTGTCATTGTTGTTGGTTTTTTTTTTCATTTTTCTCTGGTCGCTTTTCACTTGTCAAAAAGACACACATACATACACAAACACACACACAAGATTTTACTGGTTTTTATTTCTTTCATATCAGATTATATACACAGTCTCGTGCACACGCGTATCTTTATTTATTTATTTATCTATTTTTCAAAAAAAACAATAATCAGATTTTATTTTAATTTTTGTGTTTCTTTAGACGATAATTGACGATAATTTTTGCTTTTTATTTTATGTTGGTGTGTGTGTATTCACGTGTGCCTGTGCGTCTGTGCATGTGTGTCAGGCACACATCCACACGGAATCACTGTGTTTGCTGTATCATTCAGCTATAATACTATTACTACTACTACTACTAATAATAATAACGATATTTGTAAGCGCCAGAACCTGACATCTCTACACGATTTTGTATACATATTTATTTATAACTATTGTTGTACAATACAAATTGAGATTTTCCTCCCATTAGTACAATTATAGTAGTAGTAATAATTGTATAATGTATAATGTAGTGGTGTAGTAGACGTTAGTAACTCTACAAGACGTTTTTTTCACAGTAAAGTTTAAGCTACTTTCAAATGATAGATAAGTAGTATAGTAGGTTTCGATAAAATATTTATGTCTTGTCTGTTTTTTTTTGCATATATGCTAATCCTGTCTATCCATCATCTCTATCCATAGGACGTGATAGTAAAATTTCTTTTTTTAAATACATATATTATTTATTGAGATGATTTTGTCCATTTTAGTTGGAATACTACAATTCAGATTGCCTAACGTTTAATTATTATGTGTTCTATTCAATTATTACTACTCTTACCAATGACATATTGAAGAAAAGAAAACCAGAATCAAAAATATGAATCATTTGTTGTTGAACTTATTCCTTTTGGTCTCTTTTTACTTTATTTACCCTCTGAGATTTATTTTCCAGGTGAGGTGTTTGTTTGCTCACTTGTTTGTGGAGCGTGAGTGTGTACTCATGTTGTCCTGTCTGTCTTAGAAGGGAGGTAAGCCTTATCGGCTCATCTGTTCAACTAGTGTTCATTACTCACTTCAAACGAATGCTTCAATTTGAATGAATTCTCATCTTCCAATTCATCAATGGTTGATGTTTTTTTTATCTTTAATTCAAAAAAGAGGAAAGTCAGCTGGAGTCTTTTTTTTCTCTCTCTCTTTATAATTCTGGTTTATCTTTTCTCTTCTCACTTTCAATTGCGTTTTTTTTCTTGTTTTGCTTATGTTTTTCAGCCAATTGTCATAATGACTTAGAATAATGATAGTGTTGTTAGTAAATTAGCGTTTAAAAAAACATTATTTTTGTGTTGATGTTGTTGATTTATTTTGTGAAATTATGTGCCAACCGATTAATTATTAAAAGAAAAAAGAGAAATTGAGAACTGTTTTAAAAAGTGAAGTATAATTATTCATGAAAGTCTAGTTGTTGTTCTTCGCTTTGTATCGTTATTTTGCAGTCTTAATTAACTTAGTGGGTAGAGAAAAAGGCATGCCTGAAAAGCCTTGCTAATCATACACGTCGACCGGGTTTCGATACTCGGCAAGCGATTCACTTCTTAACCATATTTAACTTGCTGTAAAAAGAAGGAAAGTTGGGCATCATCCTAGTTACACTATCCTTTAGAAAACCTCCACTGCTCTTTTTTTCGATGTGGAGGGCAAAAGAAAAAAATACAAATCAGGAGTCCACTTTTATTTCATCGGCAGTCACAGATTGTGACCACTTCCCATTTCTTTGGCGATCTGAGCAGCGATTCCAGTTTCAAAAATTGTGTGGACATTCCTTTGCTCGATGCTTATTTTTGTTTTCTGTGGAAAAGGATACAGCTGAGTCGCTCTTCCTAAAGGCTTGTATCATTCCGACTCCAGTGGAGAGTAAGTTTTTTAGGCATTTTCTGTGCTTTGAAGTTACCATGGCGACTAGGTTGATTTTCCGCTGGAGGGTTACCCAACCTATCCTGTTTCTCCAGGCTTAGGACTATCTAATTAACTAGTAAACTAGGCGAGCGTAACATAATCATACACCTATTGACTGGGTAATTATACAATGGTTACCAGACTCTTGAGAAACCGGAACAGCATGTACTATCATCTCCCTTGATGCAACCAGTCGAGAGCCGTCTACTGAAGTGGAAACGAGAAGTAGGTTTGAGATACATACGTTCACAAATAGTTAGCATCTTTATATCCTCCACTTTGAACAAACATGTCTCCATAAGGGTGAATGGAGCGAACTTCTGCGCAGTATCCACTTCACATTGATCAGTAGCTCGGTATCAGATGTATCCCAAACGTGATGGTGTTCTATGCTATGGTGTATTTAAAAAATATGTATATTACAAAATAAAAGATTTTGTTGAAACATAAAATGAAGAATTAGCTGAAATGAACTGTAATGCACTCAGCGTCTCCTTCTCTTATCCGTCTTTGCATTGAATCATTTTCTTTTTCACCATTCTCCTCTCTTCTATTAGCTTCCAAGTGTCCATCGAGAGCCATTCCTTTTCTTGAAGAAATAAGAGACAAGACAAGGAATGGCTCTCAACGGACACTCGGAAGCTAATAGGGGAGAGGAGAATGGTGAAAGAGAAAATGATTCAATGCAAAGACGGACAGGAGAAGGAGACGCTGAGCTCAGCGTACAAAGCACTGGACAGAAAAGTGAAGAAGAGTGCTAGGAAGGACAAAAGACGATTCTACGATAACCTGGCCACTGAAGCTGAGAAGGCAGCGGACAAAAGGACATTATATCAGCTAACCAAATCTCTATCCGGGAAGAGATCAACACAAGCGAAACCTATAAAAATAAACAGTCAAGGGAACCCAATCACCAAGGAAGAAAGACAGATTAAACAATCGGTGGATCACTTCAAAGGACTCTTGAACCGACCATCACCTGCAACCCGTTCAGAAATACCAACAACAGCGCACAAACAACTGCAAGTTGACACCAATCCACCAACGAAAGCTGAAGTCTTGAATACAATCAAGCTTCTGAAAGCTGGAAAAGCAGCTGGACTAGATGGAATACCCCCTGAAGCACTGAAAGCAGACCCAGAGACTACAGCAGATAAGCTGACTCCATTATTGCAAAAGGTCTGGAAGGAGGGAAAGGTGCCTACTGACTGGAGGAAAGGTTACCTCGTCAAACTACCAAAGAAGGGCGA